GGGTAGAATTGTCAAAAAGGACAAAAGGCCATAAGGACAAGTTACTGAGGCACCAAACCCATTTTCTAACAACCTATTCTTAGTTCAAAAAAAATCCAAAAGGTAAGCTTTCAGATGCCAATTTCAGCCTGGTAACATCAAGAAGTTTGCCTCCAAAATCAGTGGAGAGAGACTGGCCCACTCAGAGAGGCAATCAGAGCACCAGGTTCTGCTCTGAGCCACCTCCAGAGGACTCTGGGGAGAGGCCAGGCTCCTGTACCTCAAGGAAGCTAGCAAGTATTCATGCTGGGACTAGAGTTATAAAAAGATCTATGCACATAACACCAATTTACAAAAAATAAGATTTACAATTTTAGTGCTACTGAAAAATGGTGGAACCATCTTCAGCTTTAGAAGTGAGCCTTTCAGTGCTCACAATATCTACCTCCATCCCCTTTTTAAAACAGGATTTAGACTAGAAGTCATTTAATTCTCTCTAGAAGTGTATTGGAGCATCCAGGTGCTTTGCTTGCATTTGCAAGGCTGCATCGGTAAGTCAGAGACATTCACTGGGCATGAACACGCAAACCACTGCACTCGGGAGCAAAGCAGAATTGTGCTGGACCTCAGATAATGTGTACAGAAAATACTTCACCCGTGAGACTCTGGCTTCCCTTACTGTTGACCAACAGGTGACTGTTGACCCAAGTTTAGCAACTATGGAGGAAGTGGGAATACATGACGTACATCTCCACAGCATCTGTAGGGGCAGCCAAAACCCAGATCCCTGAGCTGTTGCTGCTCCCCAGAACAGGCAGGATGGAGGCAGACATGCTCCCTTTCTCCACGCTGGTCTTCCTTATAGATATGCATCTCGGCTCCTATCTCTCAGCACTGATGCACCACCCCGGGGTTCCTCCTATGGGGGAGCCCAAGATGGATTTCACTGCATTGAGGATTTGGCTGTTTATCCAGTCTGATTTGCAGCCCAGTGCCCTTAGCTAAGGCAGTCGATCTTTCTCTACAAAAACATTTTAAAGAGGGAAGCTGTAAGTGGAAAATGGTATGAGTCACGGGAGCACAAACTTAAAGCATCCATGCCCTGATGGGATCCAGCTGGCACCAAGGGAAACATGCTGTGGGACATGCAAGGCACCAGAGGGGTTTCAGCCCAGGAAGGAGGGCAGGAGGAAAAACTATTTCCTTTTTATTTTACATTTGAAAACTGAATTTATACCAATTTAAATCTGATGCATGTGTTAGCTTGTACAAGGCTGTAGGTAAAACCCTCATGCCTTCTAACATCAAATCTATATGCAAAAACCAAAACCACACTGCAAGTTAAATTGAAGGTTATTTCTCTTGAAATAGGAAGTTTTACTCCAGATAAGTCTGAAGACAGAGAAAAGGCCAGCAAAGTGTTACACACAAATTTAGAAGATATCTTCAGGATAATTTTCTTCTAGGAGAAGTAAGAATTACTTTAGGCAGCAGTGAGAGGGGTACTATTAAATAAAAATGTTTAGAAGTTATTCTTTGGCCAAAGAGATCCCAGTAGCAATACTCTGGCTCCAGTGAAAGCAGTGGCTGAACAGTGTTTAACTTCATAGAGCTGTGACTTCAGCTCAGCTATCCAGTCACTAGATATATGACAAGTTACTTTCCCCTTATGGTGAATTAGCTATAAATTTTAATCAGTATTACAGTGAATAAATTAGTGACTCTTTTATAAACTCCCCCTTTACAGTTCCTGTAAGCCATAGTTCCCCTAATTAAAGTTCTCATTATGTTGGCTCGACAACCCGCTGAACTGATACAGTGTCATTGCATGTGCATCAAGGGATGCCCCTAGATCATTGTTACTTGACAGTGTACATGGCTAGAGATGCACTGGCTCTTAATTTTTAAGTGAGTCATATAGACAAGAAGTTCATTGGCTGAAATTTAATTTATATTTACATATTTAAATCTCAACCAAAGTTGGTATCATGAGAGCTTCAGAGAGGGAAGCAGGACTACAGTTGTTTCTTATTCAGAAAATATACAGCTTTTCTCTTATTGAGAACTATACCTTAAAAAAAGCCCTCTCCTTAAATATTCCATGTTAAATAAAGTAAGCAGTAACATCCTCCTTTTTTGACAATCAGAGCTAGACATACAGAATTGGATAAGCTCTCTTTATTTGCATGTATCCTCAGCTACTTCCACTTCTCTTTCATATCACATTAATACCTGGAAATGGGAACTGTTTTTATTTCAGGGTAGCAGGTGTTTCCTCCACTGTTACAGGCTCCACCAGTCAAGTCTCTGTCTCATGACACCAGGGATTATTTCAGGGATAGCTAATTTGTCCCAGACCATGCAAACAATCTTCATTACTTTGGGGTCATTGTTCCACATTATGTTCTCTGCCTCTGTGTGATGTAGAACTTAAAGATAAGTGGCAAACTTCACCCTTGAAACCAAGTTCAGTACTGAGTAGGAGGGGCAAGAGTTTAGCAGATTAGCACTATTTCCAGTGAGCATTTTACTCATATAGGTAAACATCTGGTGTAAACGTTACCTGCCCAAGCCACCTCTGTGCTGCACTGAGGCCCCTGCAAGTGGTCAAAATAAGGATGGGTGAGCCGAGTTATTTGCATTTCTCTGCTAAGCAGTGCTAGACTGAGCCACTTCTTCATCTTCCTGAGGCTACAGAGCTCCAGTGCTGTTGCTGCAGGTCTTTGATAAGACCATCAGAGAAAAGGAACTCACTCAGAAAGGAATCCATAGAATTAGGTCCTTGTCAGACATCCAGTCATTTTGGAAATTAATGGAGAAATTAATGGTGATAGATGTTCACTGATCCCCAAACAAGACTAAGCAAAGACACACGTTTGGTTGGTCACCTGTGTTGAAGTAAATATCATTAATGTTCAGGCCTCATCATGGCTGGCACTTCAGCAGATATTCAGACCCTGTCCATCTCTCCCCATGTTGCTGGAGGACTCCCTCCATAGCCAGAATCTACCAGACTGAATAAGCAGCCAGAACTAATTCAGACCATGCTTGAGCAAATTAGTCTAATTATCTAAAAGCCAGGATGTAAAAACTAGAAGGGAGACTCCCTCAGTGGAGCAGACTGGGGCCACTGAACACTAGAAAAAAAATCTCCAAAGAGCAGAAAGGAGGCACTTTTCCACGTGCTGTACCTGGAAGATGACAGAGGACTCAGACTGAGCCGAAGCCTCATGCTGTTGAAATGTTGTGTCAAAGTGCCACTCCTTCTTAAAACCTTTCCTGATGCATATCAGACCCACATTGCCCCAGGCCCAAAAACACCAGAGGGCAGAAGACCAGGGCAGTTCCTATTTCCAGGTGTATCTAGAATAAGAAAAAATAAGTTTTCCCTCCTGCTATGACAGAATTAATAAACCAGAAGGGAGAAGGGTTTTAACCTTGTTAAATATCACACCAATGGATGTGCAGCGTATGGTACAACAACTAACTCTGACAGTGACCTGTGGTATGTAAGCTGGTGCGAGCAGGTAGATACCCCTAAGGAGGCTAATTTGGAGGTTAAAACCAGGCATGACTCAGGCATGTGGGAGTAAGAGAGTAAGAAAAGTGGGAAAAAGCAAGTGGATTTGTCTTTCCAGAGAGTATGATTAATAGGTTCTTTGGTAGTAGGACTGCATAAAAATCTGAGCCTATGTAGTTTCTGCCCTCGGTGTTTAATCAGGAAATATTAGATGCTGGAAGATGGGTAGGGCCGGTCACCAACTCACATACCATTTTACTTGTGAGAGAAGATTAAGTTTCTGAGATACTCTTTGTTTTGATTTTTACCTACAAGGTAGCTTAGGTTGAATGAGTCAGTAAAGCTTATGGTGCTATTGACCTAGGTAAAGCATCAAAATAGCAAGAAATCCAAGTGTCCTTCCACTCCTATTTAAAGTTCTCAGATCAGCTGTTTTGGACCTATTTCTGTGTCTCAATTTTTGAAGCACAGCAACAGAATATGTGGTTTCATTATGGTATGTTCATTACTTGGGTGCTGAGAGTATTCAGCTTCTCAGCAGCTCTACAACACTTGCAGGAGATGACAGAATCTCACTGAGATCTTGGGCTTTACCACCTAAAATAGTTTCATAACATTCCTTGTAGATGGTGTCAGCTGAAAAGCATATTGGCATTGTGTAACACAGAGAAAGAAGAAATTTTCAATACTGTCATTATTGAATTAGTAAAATTGTGATTGACTGAAAAATGAATCTGTAAGATCAAGAGCTGATTATGTGGGGACTTGAATCCTCCACAGTGTTTGAACATTCTGATAAATGTTTTTGCTAGGAAATCTTCAGTGTCAGCTTTGATTAGTTGTACCCCAGCTCACCACTGTAACTATTTTTTCTCTTACTCTCTATTAATCTCAACTACAAAAAGTATTTTTCTCACTGCTGTCACACAATAATTTCTCTCTACATATTTATTTTTTTTTTTTACTATTTTTAATCAGCCTTTTTTCTTTATTACTGATCGTTTTGGTGGTTTATTGGAAAATTAAAATATTTTGTATAAATCACTTCCAGAGCGGGCTAATCAGTGATATTTCATAAACACTGAGAGCATCAGCACAATACAAAAAGTTAATTTGCACAAGGTTAACCCAATGAGCTCTACATTGGTACATTATGTTTAATCTTAATTGGGATAGAGTTATTAATTGCATGTAGTTTTCATTTTCACATTCACATTCTCTTCTGCAAAGCCCACTCACCTTCCTGTCATTTGTAATATGGAACACCTTTTATTTAGGGCAGTTCTCTACAGAGGAAGACAGGGTGCCTTCCTGAAGAGCTTACTCTTTGCACAGACAAGACAGGCTGAAAAAGAGTGGCATGATTTGCCAAAAGTCAAACCACAAGCCATCAGCAGAGTGAGAAGTTGAATCCAAATCATCTGCACCTTATTCCAGTACTGTATCCAGTGACCATGATGCCTCTTAATATGCCGCTGTTCTTATTGTTCTTTCTTTATAGTTCGGGATCGGGTACGATCAAAAATGGAGAGAGATATTTTGGCAGAAGTGAATCATCCTTTCATAGTCAAGCTTCATTATGGTAACTATAATAAAATATAATTCATTTTTGTTCTTAAATTGGTTGGGGAATTGTAACTAAATGTGTTATAATTTCATACAGATACCCCTGCCTACCTGTGACTCTGTCTTTTACTAAGTCTTAGAGGGTACCTGTGTGAAATTCTTAATTTATGTTAAAGAATTTCAGTATAAGAAGGTTTTAGAGATTGCTCCATCAAAATACATTTGTCATAAAGTCTAACATGATGGATTGTGGGGTAGCTGGTGAGTATACATCTGCCAGCCCCCTCACCTGCTGTTGAGTATCATTTTAAAAACCAGAGACTCTAAATTAAAATTATTTTTAATAATCAGCACCAGTCTGACTTTGTATATGTATGTATATGAATGTGGTGTCTTGCTGGAGTTGCCTTCCTCTGCGTCACCAGCTGCCTGAGGAGCCCCATTATTATGGTAAAGGGTCTTTTGAGGACACTTGGGACAGCGCAGGCTCTTCCCTTACACAAACCTGGGAGCTTCTCTCCATGCCTAGCCCTCAGTGACTCCTAGTATCTTGTGCAATGGAAAGCAATATCAATTCATAGGTGCTTAGCATGGAAAAGAATATATTAGTAATGCATCATTGTCTCTCAGCTGATACCATTTTTTCCCATAGTCTAACCTCAATTGCTTAGTTCTATACAGAAATTAAGTTTTTCTGTTCTCAAGGCACTGAAATGACTGGGAAGCTAATGGCATGAATCATACACTGCTAGTCAACGAGATTAATTCTTTGGAGACTTTATCTTGATTCAAACTTCCAACATCTCCATCCTTTTCTAATGCAGCATTTCAAACAGAGGGAAAGTTGTATCTAATACTAGATTTCCTGCGGGGAGGGGACCTTTTCACAAGACTCTCCAAAGAGGTAAGCTGATAGATTTTAACTTTAGAAATGAAAGGCTGTCCTGATTTCCAGAAATCAGATGAAGTTGGTGGGAATGAAAAATGGCCTTGGGAATAGTCCTGCTATATATATATCTAATACAGCTGTATCATCTTGCATCTTTAAGTGTGTTCTTAATAATTGTACTTGAATTATGCCATAGGTAATGCAACAGACAGCATGTGAGCATCACTGTTTGAGAAAACTGCACCACTGCTAAGCCATTCCCATAGCAAAACAGCCTCAGACTCATAGCTCACAAAATATATCTTGGATATGATGAGAAACAGGCTGAGAAATCAATCCTCAATATATTTTGCTCAGGACATGGGCAGAGAACTGCTGGAAAATCACAGCCACTGCCAGCAGAATGAAGAGATGGCCGTAGGTCAGGATTCAAACAGGGCATGAGCTGGCGAGCAGGGCAAGAGCTGTCTCCTGCATTAGCTGCTGGGAGTAGGTCGGAGGCCATGCACCACCCCGGGGCTTGGATGTTGGCTGTCACACCCCTCACTGGCTCTCCTCCTGCCCACCTGAGGACAGCTGCTGCTTCTGTCACCTCCCTGGGCTCCCATCCCTTCCCTGTCCTCCACAGCTCATGCCCTGGGGAGATGCTGCTGGAGAAAAAAGCAGCCGGGAAACAGTCCAAACTTGAGTCTCCCTAAGGCCCATAGAGAGCAGCAGCAGCAGGTTTTCTGGGTTCATTTAGTGCTTGCCTGCATCTCCAAATATCTCCTCCAACCAGCTGTCTGTGTTGCTTGAAGTAGTGTAACCTCTGGCATTTAGCCGCAGAGAGGGTCCTGCAGGCAGTATGGGGGGCTCTGGCGAGGCAGCCCTGCCACTCCGAGGGCTCCTCTGCACCCCAGTGTTCTCTGTCACCAACGTGATGTCCCCAGCCCTTGGTCTCTTTCTGGGTTTTGGGGCCAGGGGTGCCAGCATCCACCTAACACACAATCTTTACAGATTTAATAGGGACCTTTTAAATGCCATCTTGAGGGGAAGCTCCGTTTGCTCTGCCTGGTTTGGGAAGTAACTGATAGATCCCCCATCCAGTTCCTGGTGTGGTGACATGCTGCGGGCTGCTGTGTGTACCACAGCTTGGATCCCAAGTGTTTGCTTTCAAGGCTTATTTTCTAAAGTGTGAAGACATTAGCAACAAGTTAATTACACTGCTGAGTAATGATACTCTCATCAGTACTTAGTGCATGGCAGCAGTTATTTTTAATACAAGGAAAAAGATTAAAGAAAATAAAAGTGTCCTTCTGCTATCGTAATGAAATTAGGCTTTGTTAATAAGGCAGCGTGCTGCCTTAACAAGGGCTTCTCTGGCTTCATGAGAGAAGAGAGAAAAAGTGATTCTTGCTCACAGAGGGCAGTTACCTATACAGCTCAATCAGGGACCTTGAAAGTGAAAGAGAACAGCTCAGATTTTGGACTCCCTTAAAACTTCACATTTTCCCCAAAGTTTTTCCAATGCAGTCTGCTGACTTCTCTGCTTCATACAATCAAGAATGAATCCTTTTAACTTGACGGTCCTTTTACGTACTTCTGTTTTCAGTATTTGCAGCTCATGTTGTCTACCTACACTTTGCAGCTGTTTAGTGGTAAGATATCGCAAGGGAAAAGATTATGGGAAAACTTGTACTGCTTGCAATTTGTTAATTATGGACTTAGTCCAACAGTATTCATTTCAGTGGACTTTCAGTCAGATTCCGTATACTACAGCATATGTGCATGCAAAGCTTGTCTCTCTCTTGCTCTGAGACATCTGACTTTAACTAGATGTATATGTATAGATTAGATTTCCCCTGATTCTATTGGTTTAATCTCTTACCTACAGTATTTATTTTAAACCTTATAAATTATTTAAATTTATTTTAATAACTAATGCAAATATTATATTCAAACGAATTAAATTTTTAGTCAGAGTTTTTGCTTGTGTATCCTTTTTCATTCTAGACTTTGCAGTGGTATTCTTAATTGAATTATATGACATTTGTTCTCTGAATCCTCTCTTTTTTTCTCTCAGCCTTCTGCAGCTTCTCAGAGCACTCAAGTATTGTGACTGCCCCTTTCCAAAAGCAGAGACTTAATTTTAAAAATAAGCTCAGCAACTTCTACTGTAGATATTTACATTTATATATGACATGTAAATTTGTATTGAGCTGACTCATTTTACTTCTGTCGTACATAGTATTCACAGTTGCATATCCAAAATATCAGCTTCTCTTTCTGCATTATCGCTGTACATATTGAAATTTCATTAAAGACAAATTAATAACATCTGGGATATAATGGAAGTTGAGCCAAAGGAGTTTCTTGCCATCAGAGTTTTTTTTTTATTACAGAAGTTTCTTCCTACCTAAAACAGAGCTTTCAGTGTTAGTAGTATCTATATCTGCTACAGAAAAGAAACAGCTGCCCTCAGTTTAGACCTCATCAGGGCCTGGATGTTAGACAACACGTCACTGCTTAGGGCATCTGCGCTGAGAACCCTGGATGCACAGGGTTTACAGGGTTTTAAATCCATCTCTGAGTCTCTTCATGCTGTGTATTCTGCTCAGATTTGGAAGCATTCCCCAGAAAGGTTACCCCATATTATTTTGTGGAAATTTGGTAACCAAATGCCGAGATTTTAGCAAATTAAAAAATATTAAAACAATAGGGGCTGGCTGCACTGAACATATTGAATTTTGCCATTCATTTCCAAAGGCTAAGGAGTTAGAACCTTATTCATATTATTGCAACATGATGTCATCTAAACAGATCAAACAGACAAATGATAGCAGCATGTTTAAGAAACAGAAGTACTCAACAGTTTGTTTTATGAGAAGAATCTGGTAATAATTGTTAATGTGAGCTCAGACAAATTATGGAAAATTGAACCTGATATGATGGTCCTTCCAGCATTCCTGAGTCAGGCAATTCCTTCCATGTCTGTTTAACGCAAGCCAGTCCACTGCTGTCCGGTGAATAGACATGTCCTTCTCTTCCTTCTCTCTAGGTGATGTTTACAGAAGAGGATGTGAAGTTCTACCTAGCTGAGCTGGCCTTGGCATTAGACCATCTCCATGGTCTTGGAATTATTTACAGGGATCTAAAACCAGAAAAGTAAGTTAATGAGAAAGAGCAAACTGAAGTGTAAATATGTGAACTGTTACATCTTTTCTGCTCCTTGTTGTGCTAGTAAGTCAAAAGGTATCAGAGGCTCTGCCTTCCTTCTTGTATGTTCAGCCTTCCATCTTGGGGTTGTTCAGCCTGAAGAAGAGAAGGCTCTGGGCAGACCTTATAGTGGCCTTCCAGTACCTGAAGGGGGCCTACAGGAAGGCTGGGAGAGACTTTTTTCAAGGGCAGGTAGTGCTAGAACAAGGAGTAATGGCTTTAAACTGGAAGAGAGGAGAGTTAGATTAGATATTAGGAAGAAATTCTTCACTGTGAGGGTGGTCAGACACTGGAACAGGTTGCCCAGAGAAGCTGTAGATCCCCCCTCTCTGGAAGTGTTCAAGGCCAGGTTGGATGAGGCTTTGAGCAATCTGGTCTAGTGGAAGGTGTCCCTACTCATGGCAGGGGGGTTGGAACTAGATGATCTTTAAGGTCCCTTCCAACCCATATCATTCCATGATTCTATGAGACTCATTGTACATGAGACCCTCACCATCAGGAGTAGGGTCTTTCTGTCATATCCGTTTAGTATAAGGCCAAATACTGTTCTAGTATGACATGGCCTCTGTGTGCCTGGCCTTCAGTTTAGCAAATGATCTCAGCATGGGATTCAGATCTCTGTGCCTTTGACTTCAGAAGCACTGTTTTCCATTTACAGCATTTAATTTGGTCTTCTCCTTGGTGTGGTATGAACTGCTCAAAGCTGCTCCACTTCCAGCTCATACAAAATATGTTGTGGCATCATTCAGTTATTTATTGTAGCTATTGTTTAAAGTAAATGAATATCTCTGAAAACTAGTGTGCATATTAGCTCATGAGACATGGTAATCAGGAACTTAAAAACATTCGTATTAATGGTCAAAAATATTTTCCCAAAAATTATTCTTGCTTATACTTGCAGCTATTTTCTGTTCCTAATGTGGTGCTATAGAGGATTTTCCTTTCTCTTTTTTCTTTGCAGTATATCAGTAGACTAAATGACACCTCCAGTACTGTCACAGGGAGTGACGTGATACTGGTTTTATTCCATTTCTCTTGCCTGGTGCTTTGCCAGCATCTTCTGTGACAGCTCCAATAAAACAGGCTGCAATATTTCAAAGTTACCAGCCTTTATAATGTAATGGTCTCGGTCATTTAAAAAAGATGACCACTGAGAGCAGTCTGCTCAGCTGTTGTTTACACTTACATATAACAGCAGAGAAACCTTTTTCTTCTGTGACATGGAGTGCAAAAGCATGCAGCTCTTTCTTTAAATTGGAGTGCTATTACCTACATACTCATGGACAAAATAAGAGACTAAGAGTAATGGAAGGTGAACTTTGTAGATGAGAAGTTGAAGAGAAGGAGACTATCTACAACACTGTACTATGTAATTTAAACTATAAATTCAATTTTATGAATGAATTCTATTTATTTATGAATTTTATGTTGTTTTGGCTGCAACAGCAATAGTGGTAGTACTGTATTAATTCATACAGATGTACATACCAGAGCTCTCAGTCCTTTAGGCTCGAGACCCTTTCAGAGGTAACCGAAATTTGCAGTCTTGCCTGTTTATGCAACCAAAACTGAAACACAGTCTTTGGCAAAGACAGGAAGTCATCCTCCAAATTAAATCACTGGAGGGATGAAGGTACAAGTTTGTCACATAAAATTAAATGCAGGTATGTATCAGTCACACCGTTGCTGCCACTGCCATGTGCTGTTGCATCATCTGCCACCAGCTCTTTGGATTCAACTTAATTCTGAATTGCTATTTTATTAATTCAGCGTCAACAAAATGCACATTATAGAGTAACTCCAATTATAGGTTTTCAGTTTTAAATTTTGTTTTTAGTGAGAGTTAGTATGAATCACACACTACTTTTCTTTCTGGTGTTAGAGGAAGCTGTTTTTCAAACTAACACATGATATATGAAGCTGCTATTAGAAGGTATCCAAATATGAACCTATATATTCAAATATAAGTCACGGTGCTGTTACATTTATGGGCACACGCTGTAATTTTTTGCTTTAGGAGAAGTTAGAAACCCAGGAGAATATTAAGTGCATGTCAAAACTATTCACTGTATTTGAGATACTGAGAATGTGATTTTTCAGAGTTCTCAGCATTATATGTCACTTTGTGTTTCAAAGCACATCTCTCACTGACTTCAGTTGCAAGTGAGAGCACTGCAAGTTCTGCAGACCAAACTGCAGTGTCTTAATTCAGGGATCAGTGAACTGAGAAATTAGAGCTCACCTAAGAAAGGAAGGTGTCACTGATTTGCCATTGTCACATAGAAACATGTCAAAAAGGCAAAGATAGAGCCCAGTTTCCTGTGCATTTTTGTCTGACTTGAGACCAGCCAGCCATCCCCTTCACAGTGTACCACTCTAGTAAAACTCCCAAATATTATCTGTTCTGCCAACTGAAGCAAGGGTTCTCTGGAGGAAAACAAAAAGTATCATTATGTAATTAAAGACCTTCATGCATACAGTGAGATCACTGAGTAAAGTTAAGGTGGCAGCCCTCATTCTGGTATTTCTTAACTTCTGATTGTATGGTCTGTGGTCTTTGATGTATAATTAACTAGGTACCAGTGGTACAGTTGAATCTGGATACAACTTTCATAGTATAAATTTGCTTTGCATGACTGTAACTACTGTTGTACAGGAAGGGGAATCACCCAGACTGGTATAACTCAAGTTCATACCTGGGGATAAATCAAGGCATCTGTCTGATTGAAAACCATATCCTTTAAAAATAGCTTTATAAGTGCATAGCTTATGTATACCCATGCCTAGGAGAGCAGACTGTGACAGCCTATGATTTCACTGTAACTTTTGGAGTGAAAAAACAGGTACAACAGAAAAAAAATATTCATTCTGAAGGGAAAAAAGTGATCCATTTTTAAGTTACATCTGGGAAATGATGGCTTTCTAAATGAGACAATAGAACCATCCCAGGATGTTCTCAGCCTCCCCTTGCTCCTGGGCAGGGTCAAATATGTGAAGGTCATTACAGGTATGTTGCTAACCTGTTAAAATAGCTGGTGGAGACCACATGGCCTCCATAGGAGGCCTCTCAGCAGTGCTCAACCAGTTATAAATCTAGAAATTGCTCCTGATAGCTAACTTTAAATTTCTTTACTGCAGCTGCAGGCCATAGCTCCTTGGCCTGTCCTCCTAGACTCCCCAGCCTGCTTGTTCTGCTCTCAGCAGCAGCCCTGGGGGATTGCAAGCATGTCTGTGTCCCCAGACCTCTCTTCTGTTCCCGAAACAATCCAGCCACCAAACTCTTCTTCATCAGTCTTCCTAGGCATTTGGTGATTCTCATTCCTTCCCTTTGGTTTCTCTTGATCTTTATCTCCTTTGTAGTGCAATGTGCAGAATTCTGCATCCTCAGAAGAAACATTACCAGTCTGATTAGAGCGCAGAGTTTACTCTTAACAAATTTACAGAACTAGAGATAATTGAATTTGTTTATAATTCCCCAGTTCTCTCTCTCCCTCTTTGTTAAAAGATAGGCACTGCATTTGAAATTTCATTGTTCAGTGCTTTTGCTGTCCTCCAGAAGCTACCAAAAGTAACTGCTAATAGGTTTGAGATTGCTCCAGTCAGCTCTGTAAGTATCCTAAATGAAGTTCATCAGATTTTTTTTGTCAGTCATGACTACTTAGAAAGCAGCACTGTTCAGACCACTTGAAAGAAACTTCAGTGCATTAAAATTTAAGGTTTAACATTTTTTTAAGATTCTCTGAACAAAAATCCATGTTAACAGTCCAAAGCTATGAATTAATTTTAAGTGCAACCAGCGTATGTACTCTGGGAGTTGTTCTAAAGTTATCTGTAATTACTTCAAAAAGGCAAGCAATTGAGTTTTCTGGTTAAAGTCTTATTTAGAACAAGCAGATGCTTCTTCCCTTAAATTATTGCAGCCAAATTCTTCTCCTTGAGTTATCTTGAAAATTTCACTAGCACCCCTTGTGGAACAAGGTACTGTTCAGTCACGCGGAAACCCATGGAGTTACTTAGATGGTGAGGCATGTTTCTGTTTAAGAACTGCAGGATCAAGCTATTAAATGTGATAAATATACCAAGCTAGAAAAATGAGAACTTATTATAAAGTAGTATATGGTGCATATGTTATTTCTTATGCTGTGGTTTAAGGGTAGGAGTGACTTAGATGTAACTCTACCTTCTGATTATGCACAGAGTTTTTTATTTATTTTTACCTTTTCTGTCTCCAGGTACCTAGATACAACTTGATACGATTCTGTTGTAGGGGCTTTGATTAACAAGGAGTGGTTTACATTGTAACGCCCTCAGCTGTCAGTACAAAAGACAGCTCATATAATTGCTTATGTAACAACTCCTGAATTGTTGACCTGTCTTTCAAAAAAACAAACCAACACTGCTTAATGCAGCATGTTGCAAACCATGGCTATTCATTCATGAACATAGCTGCCCTGTGTAGAGAGGGAAGATCTGAGAATCAGTAAAGGATGAAGACTTTTAGTGGAAAATCACCATCATCTTCCATCAAAGTAAGCCATCTCTTTTGGGGACTTTATGGTGTCAATTGAAACTACAGCAGAGATGAGTTTGGCAGAAGACTGTTCAGCATGGTGAGATAGTATGGGATAATGCAAACACTGAAATGTCACAAAAGATGGACAGTTTGTGAGAATCTTTATGTCTTTGGGAGATATTGGAATACCTTACTCTGTCTGGTACCTTCATAACAAAGTTTGCAACACGCTTTACGAAATTTCAGGTTTTCTTTCCAACCTGAAATTTTAGCTACAATTTCTGAAAAACATAAAATGTGGGTTGAATTTTCTGCACAATTGAGCTGGCTTGGAAAGAAACATAAATCCTCAAAAAAAACCCCAGAGTTCCAGCTTTAATAGATTTGGCAGAACCTCATGATGATTTGGGTATATCGGAGTTCAAAGTCAAGCTTGAAGCACATGACTCAAAATTAAAAATAAAGGAGAGAGAAATGGGAGAGAATTGCTATGGCCCTGATTTAAGAGTCACTATAAAATAATCTTTGCAACTAATAACAAATTCTCTTTATCCCTGTGCTAAAGTTGCAGCAAAAAAAACTACTAAGGGCGGTGCAGTCCTAGCTCTACTGTGAGCTTCTCCTGTAACTTGGAGTATGCCATTCCCCTGCTACTAGCTTAGTTTCACAGCCTCTAATGTGGAGATTTTCAGTCTTATTTTCTTAAGGCATACTTTTAAACTGAGGTCAGTGAAAGCAGTTTGAATGTTTGTTGGGTGATTCTGAGGCTAAAATTTTGTTATTGTTTTGAAATAAAGGAGAGGTTAACAATGATAGTATTCTGTAAGCACACCCAAACCTTAAACTGGACAAATAAAATGGAAAAATCTTGTAGTGAAAGGTTATCACTCAGTGGGATTATAGTCTAGTTTAACATTTAAAAGTAGTCTGCTTCTTATGTTTTTTATAATTTCAAAACACTGATTTAGAAGAAAGATTTTTCTCAAGCCTGAACCACATTAACAACTTCTGGTTCTTTTTTTCCATTCTGCAAAATAATACTAGTTTATTTCAGATTAGCTGATCCTGCAAACCATAGTTAAAGTAAATTGTTTGTCACAATAGATTTTCTACTACTGACAGTTTGGAATAAAGAGGAACTGTAAAGTGATAAAGATAAAGAAAGGCAGAAAATATGATGAGAGAGTAAGTTTGCTTCCACAATCAAAGGGAAACCATTTGCCTGTTGTTGTAATCCAGATGCTTAGAAGCAGGTACATTGTTCTTTGCTTCTTAATATCACTCAAAGCTAATTCGGTGCAACAATTATCTTTTTCTCACTGCTAGAATTTTTTTTTTTTTTTTTTTTTTTTTACATCAAACAATTTTCAGTTCATGACCATAGCATTGTATGTGTTGGTAGATGGCAAATGGGGAAACACCCAGCTGTCCAAAGCATACTGCCGGGGGCTGAAGGCAGCTGAGGGCATCACATAAGGGTGATTAGTGAACACGAGAGAGAGGAGGGAACTGTAGATCAAGTTTTAGGGGATATGAGATGCACATCCATAGGAAATCAGGACCCCTTCACTTTTCTGCTCATACAGACATTCAGTGTGAGAAAATCTGTCATATGCTTCAGGCTCACTTAACCTAAGACAGCTATTATACCAACACAGCTAGGTTGGTATGTCCTCTATCCCTTTAATGAGCGTAAGGTATGAACCCTCTAATGAAGGCAAAGGAATGACAAAATATATGGTATACACAGAAAAGCAGCGTGGATTTTCAATAGGAATTCAACGACATATAAAATCAATGTTTCTGGGGAAAATCCCACACCCTTTGAATTATTCACAGGGGCTTCCTGGGTATGGGGCAGAATTTTAGGTGATTTCTGTGGGCTGTACTCCCCCTTGACATTCTTCCAGAGCCAGGTCTGTGGAGTTCATATATTCACCTCATTTCCACACTGGCAGATGTTTTATTCTCTTCTTCTGAAGTAGAAGCCTCTTGTTTAGGGATTGTAGTCACAAAAATACATTTAAACTTGTTACAGGCTAGTACTTAAAAATTTTGCCACTTTGAGAAACCTGGGGAGAAAAAAATAGAGGTAAAGATGCTTTTATTGAGAAGAAAAAGCTTTAATTATTGAACACAAAGTAGTGACTCAGCTGCTGGCCTTTGATGAGTTACACAATAACAGTCAGTTCTAAACACACAAACGAATGACAGAAGATCATCTCTTTTCAATTAGTTTCAGTACAGGCACAGCCTTTCACAACAGTATAGCCCAATGTGCTTGTTTCAATTCTGTCTTATTTTCTTCCTGAATAATTGGATTAAAGTGGCTCTCTAAGAGAAGGGGAATATAAAAATAGCTGACACCTCACTAGACCATTTTGAAAAGAGAAATACTCTAAATCTAACTAGAACTGAAGAAACACCACTCTCATTACTGTGTCGATATTTATAGGCAGAAAATTTACCAAAAAATAATTATTTTTCCATTTCAGTGTTCCTTCTTGTTTCCACAAGAACTAGCAATGCTTTTTGTGAACTACAATCATTTTTATCACAGAAATATTGGAGTGCCTTTGTGAGAATAAAATATGTTGGCAGGTGGCAAACATGAGAACACTTGAACTTGGCTTCCAGGCTGAATTTTCATTTATGCTTCCGGACAGAATAAATTAGCAGGGGCCGAGATCCATGCAGTTAGGCTGTGACTAGTCATTAAGCTCTATGATCACTTTTATTACTTCAGCATGAACATATCTACCTTTGGAGTTAATTTTAGGTCCAGTGAGTCCAAGCCCTGATTATTTGTATGCTCGCCTTTCTTATTATGAGAAGAGCAGAAAACCTGTAGCTCCTTCTCCTGCTGGAAGCAGATACTCTGCAGTTGTTGGCTTTGAACACTCTGTTCTTTCTGAGCTCAGTTTGCATGCCCATCCTGAGCATGCTGTGGAGCAAAGAGGAGGTTCACTGTGCAACTGCCGCAGGCAATGTGTGCTTCAGACGTGAGATTAGACAGATGTTTGTGTCATATTTGAGTCTTGCATATCTCCTTACCTGTCTTAAACATGTTTTATTCATGTTTGCTAAACTGCACTCTGTCACTGCCCAATGAGTGAATGTTTCCTTTTTTGATTTACAGCATTCTTCTTGATGAAGAGGGCCACATTAAGATAACAGGTACGTGAGGAACAGAAAACTTAATGTCTACAAGCTGATTTATTTTCTGCAGTATGTTCCATGCATCTTAATCTTTGCTTGGAAAGAGTTTGCTTACAAAAACTTAGAAGCCAGAACAGTTTGAGTGTCAGGTTTCTCTGGCAATTCATCAAGCACCCGTGCTACACAGAATATGGAGATCATAGCGTTTTTTTGGTAAAATTGTACTTCTGACTAATGATGTGAAGCGTGCAGGCTTGGCTGCCTACCACCATGGATGGAAGGATGCTTCCAGTGTGACTGCTTAGTCTTGATTAAATTCTTTCTAAATTATCACTGTACAGAGATCAACTGGAAAGACATTCCTTTGCTACCCTGGAGGTGCTGTCTGGCCATCATTTTCACTTTTGTCCATCTGGGATTATTACTCCTAATGCTTTGGTTATCTGAGCAAGAATCTCATACCTGCATTGTCTTCACCAAACCTGAACTGTGTATTTCTGTCTATTTAAACCCTTCCTTCTGCTTTGGGCCACAACCTCACTCTGAGCAGAGAAAATTACACATCTGCTTTCACAACGTATTACCAAAGGCCAACCAGACATTCCACATAGGTAGGGCTTCAGCACACACATGCCTGTGGCCTTCCTGCATGCGGAGACAAGGCTGCTTCTTTGGCTGGTTGGTGTGTTTTGTTTGAACAGTTTAAGTGACCAAAAATGTAAATAAGACCTGACAAGTCTTTTTTGTTTCAATTTATTTAGATTTTGGTCTAAGTAAAGAAGCCATCGACCATGACAAGAGAGCGTACTCATTCTGTGGGACAATAGAGTATATGGCCCCAGAGGTGGTCAACCGACGAGGACATACACAGAGTGCTGACTGGTGGTCTTTTGGTGTACTCATGGTAATGGAAAAGTTGTGTGTGTTTGTTGGAGGGGTGGCTATAGGAGTGATCAGATCCCTCAGATGAAAAGTACTGCTTTCAGCAATTAAGGGTTGATGGACAAATAAACGTGTAATGATTGCTTGATTGTTTTCATTGCATCAGCAGTAGGGAACCAGCTGTTCCTGGCAGTATATGAGGTAGCATTTGGCCCCAGATTCTCTCTGTTCCTTCTCACAGTCCTTCACTGTCTTGGTTGATTACCATAAGCCATTAATATTTCTGCTCCACAGAAACAGGGAACAATTTCTGCTCCACTGAAACAACAAGCTCAGAAGAGCACAAGCATTTCAGAAGAAACATCTGCCTAGTTACTAACATGGTTCCTGCTAGGAAACGATTCCCCAAGCAGCGATTTTCAGATGTTAGGGACATCATCTTAAAAGAAACTCAGAAATTTCCACTTTTTCTCTGCAAAGTATAGGTTAAAAAGGACACATTTTAGAGGACACTCTGAATGTTTCACAGGACCTTGGTGGTTCTTTTGACATTCATCTATCTTCCTCACATCAGCATTGCTGACTCTTGTTCCACTAATGAGATTCAAGTAGTTTTTGGACTGGTTATGGATTTCCCGTAGTCTTATTAGCTGGTGGGAGACTGTCACTCAAAAACCTCTCTCCATCTGTCTCCAGTTAAATGATGGTGTATTTGGTGTATAGATTGTTTTTTTTATCTGCTAATGAACTTGGCTCCTTTCCCCATGCCATGTTTTTTGATAGGCTTTTTTTTTTTCCCCCCCTCCATCTCTCTTTTCATCCCCTCCCCCAGGGATTCAGTGTATTACAATTAGAAAAGATAAGAATCCATATAAAGGACATGAGTTAAAGAGAGTAAAAATCTGTAAGCTAGTGCTTTAAGCCTTTGAGTGCTACCAGACATCTCAGAGAAAAATAGCTCTAATCAGTTCAATCTTTTTTCTTTTTTAATGATTAACTGATTGGGGCAGAAAAGGGGTATTCCATACACTACGAGTGTGGGAAGATTTTCTGATGCTTTCACTCTGCTCGTTTCTACTTGTTTTCCTTGGTCTGTCACTTGTATGTTCTATTAGGGAAGCTGTTTTTCTGCCAGTCTGAAAAAGTGAAGAGAATTAAATGGTATCCAAATGATTTATTAGCATTTCTCTCTAAGGAATTTGCAGTATGATGTGAAATATACAAAAAAGATATACCAGTTGGTGGAATATGCATGGATTGAGGGGAAGTTAATGTGATAGTATTATTTTCATACCTAAAATTTTTATCAAAAGGGGGAATATATTAGGCAGATAGTGAATAAAATGGCCTGTAACCTATCCATCAGAAGAGCAACCAATGTCTTCTCTGTTCTGTTCTCTGAAGTAGAATTAATACTACAGTATGAAGAGTTGGATTGTGCTAGCAGCTCCTTGCCAACCTGCATTGACCAGGGCAGGGACTAGTATCAAACTGAATGATCCTCAAATGCAACCTTAAGTGAGGCATGTTGTGGTTATTACTGTCAAAATGAACTTATCTGAAAAAGACTAAATTCTGGATTTGACTTATTAATTATGTTATTAATTATTGTATTAAATATTATGCAGTCGGGGGTTTACTCTAAACAACAGTGAAACTTCATTTACCACCAGCTGTCTTTCACACAGGCCACAGAAATAAAACTCTTATCTGCTCTATTCATTTGCAGCTCTGTTTGAATTACTTTATGGTAGCTTAGTATGTGTCAATGGATATAGTTATACAAATCTTGAAATTCACCCTTTCCAAGAATTCCTGAGGACAGTACCTGCCACTCATTTAGTATGTGATGATGACTGATGGGACCCAGTTAAAATTTTGTGCTGGTGAATTTATGTGGTTTATTATGACCAGGCAGATTTCATTTTCTGCCTTCCTGCATCTTATTCATTGCATTAGAGATTTTGGATAGGACATATTCTATGAAAGCTTTGCATCAAGATCTGCATGAACAAGCAGTTGACGTAAATTGTTAAAAAGTTGTGTATACAGCTAATAACTTTTCAACTGCACTGCAAGAACCTTGAAGCCCATACTGTCATCTCTGAAGCCCAGATAAACTGGTCTGCATGCCATAAAATGTACAAAATTTTTGGAAGGCTTTTCGAAGTGGTGGTTTTGTAGTTCATCAGACTAGGAGATTTACAAAGCCGCAGACCTCATGGAAGTTGTATCTGTTTCAATTCAGGAAAAAAAACACTGTACACCTTCAAGAGTCATGTGAGTAGAGAGGAGAATATAATTAGAGAAAGAAGGGGTGTGAAACCACAGAATTAAATGCCATCAAAGCAATACAATCTTCTTTTACAAAATCCCATCATAACACTTGTTTTATTCCCAGTGCAAGAGGTGGTCTTCATAAACAGTATTTTTAATGTTTGTGCTAGCTGCTATGTGAAGGTATTCAAACCCTTTGCAAACACTAATTCACTATGCTTCAGACCTGGCTAATAATTAAAAATACTTAATACATTTTACAAATAATAAAACTGAGTGGCTGACCAGCTACACAGAAAATGACCCATTCATTCTGACAAAAGTTCCTCTCCCTACTCTCCAAAACTGAGTGGTATCGAGTTTCTTTGTAACCCTGGATTTTATCCTAGGCTAACAATACTTTATCAGGCTTGGGCTGAAGTAATTTGCACAATCTGCTCTCCTTCCACCTGCTAGGAATATTCATCTGGCAGTTACCCCAGGCTGTGGATTTTTTCTCGTTCATTACCTTCCTCAGTGGCCTACCAGGGTCGCTTCTTGAATCCATTCCCTCAGGAAATGTGACCCTCTTTCCCAAGGTCTTCCCACAAGTATATCTTCTGAGGTCTCCAGTGTTGGTGTTTTGCCTACTAAAATTGAAGGTTGCCCTGAAAACTAGAGAAAGGAAGCACTGCAGAGTATGTTGAGACCTAAGCAGGGGCTGGATTAGGTGACTGTGGAGGCCCCTTCCCATAAGGCTTTAATTCTTAATAGGCTGCTGAACTGGAACAGGGAATCTTTGCCTTTCTTTCTGAATATTGGTACAGAAAAGAAGTCAAGCCTGGAGGGAGGCAGAGCCTTCTGAAGTACTGGATAACAGAAGGTGGCCCTCTAGAATACCCAGGAAGCATATCAGTGGGAGTCGAGGAGCAAACAGATGGTTTATACAGATGGGGGAGTGGGGAGAGTGAAAACTGAGTCTCCTGGCAAAACTGTAGGGTCTGCTTTAATAGCTAAAGGTCCTACAGAGTTTCTTCACTCCTAGGCTCAGCTCCTTGTCAACCTGCTGTGAACCATACAACTCTGTATTCACATGCAAGGGTGTTATCAGCAAGTGCTTACTTCTGTTTGCATATTTAGGTTTAGGAAGATTTTTGACATTTTGAAAAAATAAGCAGGAAAACAGTTATACAGTGAAGCAGTAGCCTTAACTGATGAGATTAACTATTTCCATTTTTTTTTCAGTCTTGTTATTTCATTTTTAACTTTCAACAGATTTAATCAGGACTGCAATTGAGAAACCAGTGCTTTCTTCCAGCTGCTGCATAGTTGAGTTCATTGAAGTAAAAAGCTCTGATACATTTAACTCATGTAGCTGCCTTTCACTTTAAATATTGATGTTAAGTGCATTTCTTCTGAACCTGAATTAATCTCAGCATTAGACTTGCGTAATTGGAGACATGTGGTAACAAAGTGCTAGCCATTAGAGCAATGCAGTAAATATTCCTTGCAGCCTCCAGGACTGTCATTTCCCTGCTTCCTCCTGCAACTTGAATTTCTTTTCTCCTTCCTTCTTTCCCTCTTGGACATTGCATCTGAATTTCTTGATTTCAGGTTGCTTGAGCCCCTTGCACATACAGTGCATTTGCAGATCTTTCTGTGATGTTGCGGTGGGTGCGAGCTACAGTCGTCTTCTTCCCACATAGTCACTCACCAAGCAGTTGCTTATATCTGTATCATCTGCATCGGCAGCAGCAAGCCCATTTCTGCCAAAATAAATGAGCTGTAGCAGTCATTGTTAGTGCTGTTAAATTAGATTTATTATAACAACAAAGTAATACGAGCAAGTGTAAAGGAACATTAGGTACTTACCCTGAACGTAAACTCTTTAGAAATTATTAGAAGGGTTTGGTACAATACATACCACTTCTGCTACCGCCCTTGGAAGTAGTGGTCTCTGCCCCTTATCCCCAGTATCTCTGAACGCTGTTATCAGGACTAAGGCTCTAATAGACCAGAATTACTTTGCAAATGGTTCTTGAGCTCCACTGTCATTTAAGCAGTTTTAAAAATTCTCCCCCATCATGTCTCTAGAAGACGAGCTGCTTTCCTCCAGCTCTGCCAGGCAGCTCTTCTCTTGACTCTTCTAGACCAAGCAGGAGTTCACACCTTTTTCCTTTCCAAATCTTGCTTATATTTTTCAGCCATACACACTTTTAAATTAAAAGTGTTTTTCCCTTGTTTCTACTATGTGTTTTATTGCCTTGAGGTAATTTGTTACTAATGCAGATTAGTCCTTCAATTAATTATAGTCAATTAGTGGTCTGGCTTCTAAACCTCTCTTCTGCCCTCCTCCCAAAACTAGCGTAACAGTTTCACAGTTATAGTTTTCTTGTGTTTTCTTATATTTTTTTT